TTTGATTGTAAGCACTTAAGAAACAAACTTTGTTTACTGTAGAGATCCAAACATATTGTTGGCAAGAAATAATCAATACTGATAATGGCCAAAATTTAAGCAATGTGTTCTCAATAAAATATATTGGTCTCTGTTGATTGACACATATGCTATTAACATTTTCTTACATACTATATTAGGTTTCTTATATTGTTATATTTGTAACATGTGTAAAACCAAATTAGGGATACAATGGTGATTATCATTTGATCTGTACAATTTGTCAATAATAAAAGCATGAGAATATACAACTGGGGTAGTTTAAAGTTCTTAAAGAGGGCAAATTTTTATTAATTTCATTCTTCCCTTACATAAGCAATATAAAAAAAAAAAAAAGAATTAAACTCCTGCAGAAAGACAGCCATTAAAAAAAAAAAAAAAAATGACCTGGTTTTCTGTGCCCAAGTTCCCAGTACTTTGAGAAGCAGAAGTTAAAAGTCTCAGCTTTTCCACCATGCAATTCAGAGAATGTGGTGGGAACAGAATGCGAGGCAACTCAGCTGGAAAATATCTTAGATGAAATATTTTTGTCGAGCACTTTTCTCACGTGAATTTGCCTCTAGTTTAGTATATACCAGTCACCAGAACATGGCATTCATTTCACTTCATTTCTTAAGAATTTTTTTAATCAACAAACTACTGCATAAGCCAGCAGAACAAAAGCAAAACAACAACAACAACAACAAAGCAACCATGTTTAACAAGAGTTGTGTCTCTTACGAAGTCGACAGATAAGAGTCAAATTTTAAAATCTTCAAAGTTCTTTCCCTGTTATAAAATGGCAAAGAGGGAAACTACTTACGGCTCTTTGCCTAATTGGCTTTCTTCTCAAAATCAGATTCATTATTACCCACAAGGATTCATTTCTATTTTTTAAAGATACATGTCAAGTTTGATAGCTTTTTATTCAAAGTGAATGATAACAACCTAAATATTAAAAAAGCATGTTTTCCCCAGATGTACTGATACACAATATGTTCTTTTTTACATCAAGGAAAACAAAGCACGTACAACTGCTTATCAGATTTACAGCTTGTAAAACTAATGTCCTGGACAAAACAGCAGCTTTCCAGTAGGTGTCATCTGATCAAAAATATTTTATATACACAAAAAAACAGTTAAGAGAATCAAATGAAAATTTGATAGCTTAAAAAAAATCAATTTGGAAATTAACTCCTTACATGATGAAACAAAATTAAAGTTATTTTGACTCCATTAAAAGTTTACATTCCAGAGCAGTGGTTCTCAACTGCTGACAAAAGGGGAAATGAGATCTAACTCCAAATAATTTCTCGGAATAGAGCCACAAACCAAAAAGGAAAAGAAAAAAAGAACCTTAAAAATCTAACCCTGTTCATCCAAATGGTCATTTAACTTTAACACTGATCAGCCACCAATCATGTTTCTTTAGAGGCGAATCTTCCAAAGTGCTGCCCATCCCTTCCCAACACCCTTTGGCCCCACCTCAATCTCATAAACCCTCTCCACAGAGTACAAAGGAACATTTTTCTCTCATTCATTGCTGTTGTAGCTTGACTGAATCTAGTTGCAAAATTGCCAGAGATCATAAAAGACACAAAGGAGACAATCATCACATGCTTATTTATGATGATGATGCCGGTACGGCCCTAGAAGCCCTTCCTACAAAATTCACCTACAAAAAGAGAAGGTCACCTCTGCTGAAAATTTAAGTGTTTTGCAGCTACTTGAAGTAATGTATAAGTTCCCAAAATTCTAAGATAGGCAGGGAAAGAATGAGTTGATCAAGAGGTAGCCATTAGACTTTCACTTTTTTTTTCACAGCCTTAGTGAGGTATAATTGATGTATAAAACACAATATGTATTTGATGTAATACAATTTGATGAGTTTGGACACCTGTGACACGTATATACCCATGATACCATCACTACAATCAAGCTAATAAATCTATCCATCAATTCCAAAAATTTTCTTGTGTCTCTTTAGGTTTTTTGGGGGGGAGGGGGGCGGGGGAGCAGGTTTTTGTTTTCTATAGTGAAAACACTTAACAAATTTTTAAGTGGACAATATTGTATCTTTAACTATAGGTACTATGTTGAACAACAAATCTCTAGTATTTAGTCATCTTGTATAACTGCTAAAATATATTGAGATTACTTACATAGGGAGACGTGACTTGAAGAAGAAACTCCACAATCAAGATTTATTTTATGACACTAGCCCCATTTCTAGTTCTTCATAGGAATCACATTAGCAATCTTATATGCTTATTCTTAAAACCAATTTTAATTGGTGGATTAATTCGGGCATATTTTGTGGTATTATATTCTACCAAATGTTGTCAGATTGCTAGTCCTAGCTCTGCAGGTCCAGGAATTCGGTAGCCTTCAGGGAACAGCCATGATGCCCATGTATTCATTTATAGACCACTGTTAATGAAGGAGGTTTTCTCCATCAGGCAGGGTAGTGCTTCATGGGAAAGTGTCTGAATGACATTCCAGAATCTCTCATTAAGAATTACAAATGGCAGAAAGGATTCCATAACATAAATTACAATAGCGATAGATTATATGATCCTATGAAAATTAGTGTTAAATCAGTAACCAAAGGTTGTTGATACAAATTTTATCAATTTTACATAATAAAAGAAAATATTATTAACAAATTCTCTTTTGACATCAGGGAAGAACTCTCATTCTCTTGGATCTTATGTAAGTTCAGCCCATTTTTAGTGGGTACGGGAGGAACCCCAAGAAACAGAAGAGACAGAGAAAGAAAGATATTTAATATTTATGAGTTTATGACATTTAGTTGCAATTAGTCACTCTATACATCTTTCAACATGTCTTTTTGAGTCTCTCTAGGAGAGGGATGAGAACTGGGAGGCAAAGTGAGACAGATGTTTTCATCAGGGTTTTAGATAACCTCTTGGTCATTTGTCCCCATCCAAATATATCTAGTCATACATGTAGAAGGACATCACTAACTTAATAAAATAATAAAGCAATATTGAAGGAAGAAATCACCACTCAACAATATCTGAAACAGAAATGAATTTATTGCAGGCTAAGAAAGAGCAAAACAGTTTCTCGAACAAAGCAGAAATCTAATCTTGTACTGGGGTTGGGGGAAGCATGGGGCTCCGAAATTGGCTGAATTTTAGATACAGGTGTATACAGGTATTGACTGACTTTCAGAAGCATGGGTAACCAGGACAGCTGCTCACTATTTGGAAAGGGTTTACAACCAGTTTTGTAGTTTCTTGTCAGTAACTTGGAACTAGAACCAAAGAACAATCATTCTTGTGCTTCCTTTCATGAATTTAAAGAATCGGAACATTTTATTCTTAGGAATGGTGATTGTTACTGTCAAGTGTAGAATTTTTAATAGCTGATACTTCACTATTACATTTATGAAAAAATATATGTTGTCTTAAGAAATTAATTTTACTTCACTGATAAACACTAAATGTTATTTACTAAAAGAATAACAATGTATTGTGTTTTTGTAATGAATCAAGTCTCTAACAATCCAAATATGTGGTTAAGTTTAGCTTTAATGATGAGAGAATAGCCTGATCTGAACGACCAAAATTGAAAATGTTAAAACTGGACTATTGCATGTGAAAGTTTGAGGATATTTTGTCCCAGGCTTATCTATTTCCAAAAATTGAAATAAGCTACATTTGTTCAAAATCTAATTCTGTCACTTACTAGATGCATAACTGTAGAAAAATTAGTCACATTTTATTCATTAATAAAATAGTATTAACTTTCAACACTGTGAAAAGCAAAATATAGAAGAAATGCCTGCTCTCGTGTACAATACAGTTAAAATTGTAGACAGAAATAGAACATAAGAAAAATATATGATAATGTTCCATGTACAAGAGTTGTTGCTAAATAATAATGGTGATGGTGATGATAATAATTATTATTATTAAAGTCCAGAATTATGCTTTTCTATATATTTCTCATCTTTATATATGGTCTTCATCTTTATTTTCTCCTCAATTGACTACACAGGCTAAGTTGAGATAGAATTTTACCTCTTTCAGGACACTTAATGATTTCCATCTATGCCTTAATTGTACCAAGTTTATGATATCCACATGTATTAAGACTAATAGCATTTTCATTTTCTGATTTCCATAAAGCAGTCAGAGAAAAATGTAATAAAATATTCAAATTGTTGCACTAATTGCCAAAGACAGCAATAGTGCCAAACTCAAATCACCGGCTAGGAGGCAACATTGCCATTGTAATACTCAAAATATCCAATTATTAACTTAAGTGTGGATGTTGCAATTTACTGTGGAAGAGATGCTGCATTGTCTAATATGGCAACCATTAGACATATCCGGCTATTTAAATTTAAATTTTAAATAATTAACATCCAATAAAATTTCAGGAGCCACATGTGGCTGATGGTTACCGTATTAGACAGTGTAGAGAATATTTTCAACATCACAGAAAATCACTTGGATAGAGCTGGTCTAGAGACTTTTCCAGTGTACTGTTTGAAAATGCAAATATTTTCTGAATCCTGTCAATTCTTCACTCAACATATTTCATCCCTTTCTTTTCATTCTGATAGCTATTACCTT